GGTGAATATTCCCACTTCAAACCAAGTTCTCAGCATGAAGCTCCTTGTCCAACTCAGGTCATGTATACATATACCCAGGGTTCAATCTATGCCAGAGCTCGTCTATGGTCACAACTTTTTCCACTTTTCCTTTTCTCCTGCCTCTTTTGCTTAGCTCCACGAAGGCTCCTCTTCAGTTCTCTGGGGCTGAGGGAGAAGGAGCAGCTTTACATCTAGTTTGCCTTTACACTGAGGGTGAGCTCTTTAAGCTTCCTGCATGAAATGGGGAAGATCTCCTCTGACACTTTCTGCTTTTGGTGGGCCCTGGAGCTTGACCTCAGCCCCTCTTGCCTGAGGGCGGTACAGGAAAATGCCCTCAGGAAGGAGCAGCTTTGGTACTGTTACATTCTGTTTTTCTTTATGTGTGGGATTTCATTTAAAAAATTGTCCTGGGAGGTCCCCATTGTCTTTTTAGCTCTTCAATGCATTTTAGATGGTTTAAAACAAATGTTTAACCAGCATTTTTCTTTTTTTTTTTTTTTTGTCTTTTTTTCCGTGTCCGGCAACGGATCGCAACCCTCANCCCCGGGGAGGCGCGCCGCCGCGCTTCCCAAGCGGCGCACTATCCAGTGCGCCACCGGGCCGGCCCTTAACCAGCATTTTTCAATAGTACAGTTGATCCAAATAACCTAACCTGCTATTAGCAGAAACTAGAAGCTGGTGTCCTAATTAAATCTTACTTCTGAGACCTTGAGCTAGTTAAAATTATTTCACCTTTGGTTTCCTCATCTGTAAAATGAAAATAATAATTTGTATACCACATGGGGCTGTGTGAAGATTAAATGAATCCACGTAACATGCTTGATTTAATACATGCCACATGGGAATGCTCAGTAAGCATTAGCCTCCTTCCAATCATCACCACTACCTTATCATCACTGCTTGAGCATGGCCAACTGAGTTGGATCATGCAATTTGTATAGGTTTTGTTCCAGGTAAAGATAATTTCCAAGGATTTGAATAGCCTGGGCAGGAAAAAAAATGCTCAAGAGATAAGAATAGTCATGTACATTGACTTTCTGATCCCAAAGGAGAAATATTTGAGTAAGATTTTTTTAAATTTCAAAGCTTCTGTTATTCATAACAATAATGTCAAACTTTATATTGATTTTAAACATTATAATGAACAAACCACAATGACTGAATAGTTGGTTATAGTTTTAGGGACTTCTATCTTAAAAACAGAGTAAAATTTTTAGTAATTAGAATTTCTGAGAAATGGTTTAATTTAATGTAAGTCACAAAGCCTTCTGGACCCCTTTTATAATCCTTCTGGACGAAATCCTTTTAAAATGTAGTTGAAAATCTTTTATGCTTTTGATAAAAGTGTCTACTGAACCTAATTATCTGCTCCTAAAAAGCAGGGTGTCCTTCAACACGATACTACACTGGCTATATCTGAGTAATTTGGGGTCTTCTATAGCTTATTAACACAAGTAAGATTCTTAATATGAAAAGTTAAGTGCTCTGCTTATAATTATAATAAAAAGTGAACAAGACACTTTTCGAATGCAACTGTCATGAACTAATTCATTCAATTGGCATTGTGTGAGAGACTGGATATAGAAAGTGAGCAGAATAAACCCTGCCCCAGTAAAGCCCATTATCTAGATTGCAGGAGACACAGAAATGATTTAGATATAGTGAGAGGCACGCAATTAAGAGTTTAGTCTCTGGAGGCTGATCACTTAGATTTGAATCCTGACTCTGCAATTTATTAGCTGTGTGAACTTGGGTAAGTTACTTAAATTCTCTTGCCTCCATTTCTTAATCTGCAAAATGAGAATAATAATATTACCTACTTCATAGCATTCCTGTGAGCATTTAAAGAGTTAACATATGTAAGAGCTTAGAAGAGTGATTGGTACATAGTGCTAATTGTCAGCTGTTATTTATTATTATTATTGGTGTTATTATCACTGTGTAGCAGTATGCGTGAATATAAAGTGAGGGAAATGGATATAAAATGAAGGCATTACATCAGATGACCTCTAATTATTTATTCCCACAATTTATTATTTGTCTTCTACCCCACCTCCCCATCCCTTCACCCATGCCATGCTATGAGTCTTTGCTCACCCTTTTACAGTGAACTCTCTCTTTACAAAGTCCCCTTGTTACATAGTGTCTGAAACATCAAATTCATACACTGTATGCCTTCTTATTTTCTAAATGTATGTTTGGTACAACTTAAGTTTATATTATGTTACACATAATGCTGCTATATATAATGTCATGTTTCCTATTTCACCCAAGTCTTATCTGGATTATAGAATGGTTCCACTGTACCTGACTAACAGCATGGAAGGTGCTCAGTAAATACTGGTTGATTAATTGAAGGTAGTCAGTTTCATATACAGATTTTACTGGCATAGACTAGGGGATGGCAAACTTTTTCTGTAAAGGGCCAGATAGTAAATATTTTTCACTTTGTAGGCCATATTGCTGTCTCCTGCAACTGTCACAACTACTCAGATCTGCCACTGTAGTGCTAAAGCAGCCATACACAATGAATAAACAAATGGGCGTGGCCACATTCCAATAAAACTTTATTTTCAAAAAACAGTCAGCAAGCTGAATTTGGCCTGAAAGCTGCAGTTCACTGACATTTGACACAGACTCTCATGTAGAACTCAAAATTGTAAAACAGACCAGCTAAAATGAGAACCAGCTGTGGTTAAAAAAAAGAAAAACCTAGACTCTTCTCCCTGAAGAGACTGTCAGCAGTTCGAAGGCAGGGATTAATACGTGTAACAGAACAATATAGGTTATTTCCATTTCCCCCACCCTCAACTTTTGATCTCACAACATCTAGCTAAGTATTCAGCCAAAGAGAGCATACTCAACTGAGTGAAGCTCTCACTCTCACAATCAGGCTTTCACTCCCTTCTTAGGTATCCTGTACTCTTTACAGCTTGAACTATGAAGTACATGACTAGAATTTGCTCACCCAAAAAGCAAAGCAATTTTAGCTTTGCCAATCTGAGCTAACATTTTATAACTTTAATCCTCACATTTTCAATGAACAGATGGATGCCACAAACATCCAAAGATGGATCCATAAACAAAAAGGGAAATGTACACCTGAAAAAGACAACTGTAATCTGAATTTGTACGTTCAAATATAATCCAGTTTAATTTATTAGAGCAATTTAAAGCTACTAAGAACCTGATGGGTAGTTGAGAAGTTGTTTCATTTATAGTTTTTTGGTTTTTTTAATATCACAGTGTTTCATATTCTCTCAAAGACTGAAATTGAAGCAATCAGCAGGACTTTGTTAACTATAAAGGGGGCTCACCAATCTCACCTAACCTGGTATATAGCCAGGAAAGTGTGTAAGTTTTATAAAAATAGATATGATGACTTCAGAGGTTAATATGTTTTTCGCACTACCTCAAAAAAGTATAAATTTTCTTTAAAAACAGTGCAAGACAAAAGGAGCCAGGAAAGTAAGTTTTATAAAAATAGATATGATGGGGGCCGGCCCGGTGGCGCACTGGATGGTGCGCCGCTTGGGAAGCGCGGCGGCGCTCCCGCCCGAGGGTTCGGATCCCACATACCAGTGTTTCATATTCTCTCAAAGACTGAAATTGAAGCAATCAGCAGGACTTTGTTAACTATAAAGGGGGCTCACCAATCTCACCTAACCTGGTATATAGCCAGGAAAGTGTGTAAGTTTTATAAAAATAGATATGATGACTTCAGAGGTTAATATGTTTTTCGCACTACCTCAAAAAAGTATAAATTTTCTTTAAAAACAGTGCAAGACAAAAGTTAACTATCCTAGTATCTGAATGAAGACAAAATTTTCTTTGTACTGTTCTGACAATAAAAGCCAGGGTTTCATCCATATTAAAATTTTTTAATCAAGATAATTTATGAACAAACAATATTGATAATAAGATCCACAGTTCTATCCGTATCCATCATTTAACTTCATGATATAGAAGCTATTAGAAGTTAAAGGGACTACCCAAATAAATGTAGAGCCCTCATTATAAACATTAGCCTTAAGATGCTAAGACAAAATAAAACTTTGCTCCAAAAACAATACTAGATATGCCTCCAGGGCTGAGCCCGTGGCGCACTCGGGAGAGTGCGGCTCTGGGAGCGCAGCAGTGCTCCCGCCGCAGGTTCGGATCCTATATAGGGATGACTGGTGCGCTCACAGCGCTCACTGGCTGAGCGCCGTACGGCCGGTCTCACAAAGGACAAAAAAAAAAAAAAAAATAGATATGCCTCTTGCTTGGCATTTTCCTTACCATTTTTTGGAAATCAGTAAATTAAAGCATTTTTATGGGCACAAATAGCTTTCCTTACTCAAAAGGTAAGAAAAGGAGGTCAAAGCCAAGTCCACATTGGTCTCTGAAACAGCTCTATACTTCTACTTTTTAATCTTGGTGAATCTTTAATCTCAGTGAAACTAAATAAGTTATCTTACAATAGGCATGAATCCAACAACTAAACTAAATACAGAGGTACAAGTTCTAAAGAAAATTGTCTGCTAAACCCTTACATCCAGAGATCCATCAATAACATTTGGCTACATCAGTAATTTACTTTTGATCTGGTGGCAAAGCATGTTTATATTCTGGGGAAAAAACCCACCAATCTTATTGACTGACATTTTGGTATACTTGATGGTTAATTAAATAAGCAAAGTGGAAAAGTAGCCACTATGCTATGAGGTGCAATTTTTCTGTAGGATTAAACTTCAAAACTCAGCGATTTCACACTTGAGCTAACCAGTTAAGTCAACGAAGTCAGATAAGTTGATAGCTCCTGTATAAACCCTAATGTCTTTTAGAAAGATTTAAAAATCGGATCATGACTGTATTGACTTTGTAATTTATGATCTGCTAGGCTGAAGCTGTGGAATTAATTCAAGAATTATACATTACCAAGTACATAAAGATAAAGATGTTGGCTTTAAATGCTATTTTTGCATAAGTTTACTTACTGCCATATAAGCATTTGTTCCAACATACGTCTTGGCTATAGAATTCACCAGCTATGAGACAAAACAGTCTGTTAGAACCATATAAAGATAATGTGGAAATAAAATGGGCAATTATTCCTCATTTAACCTACAATCATCATTCCTATAAATCAACTAAAAATTATGTAAAAGAGAACAAATTTATCTACAAAGGCATTAAAAATGATTAAATCTCTATTTTCTTTTGAATGTGATTTCCAATTTAAACAAGCACAGCATTACAGTTTATAGCAGATAACCTTAAACAATTCACTTAAGCAGGATGCTTACGGCTTTAGTACCCCGAACCCGCCTGATATAAACAGTCAATTTGAAGTAGAATTTGAACACACTCATTTTTTAGTCAGATGGCTCAAGATGTGAATGAAGCCCTATGCATTGCTAGAATGAAACGAACACTAAATACGCTGGAGGAATAAGAGACTTTGACAACTCATAATACAATGATGACCTTCGCTTTGGTCTTCGTGTTTGGCTGAGAGTAAAGGTGGCTGCAATTCAAATCAACATCACAGCATGCTCATGGGTCACTATCACTGGGGTTCTCAGGGGAGGCCCAAAATGGAAATTAATTAAAATTTGTGCTGCACATTGTAATGGCCCTCCACCATTGTTGCTTCCAATATTAATTTTTATTGTGGGCCAGTTGGGCTCCCCAGGCACAGCTCCCACTCTGCCCTCCCTTTTGTCTGGCCAAACGCTTTCATATCAAAGCTGCATATCAATGAAGTTTGCTATTCGTAAGTAGTAATTACAATATCAGCAGTTTTTACTGTCATTAAACAATGAACAATCATATTGTGATGAAGGGAACTCGCTCAGAGATTAAAAATGAATAACACACTCCCAGCTGAGGAAAAGATGCAGACTTTCTGTTTGTCTGGCAGCTAGGTGATTTTCAATCCAGAGAGCAGAATGAAAATAAAAAGTGGATGTTGCAAAGAGAGCACATTGGGAGGAAAAAGAGACCTACCTGAGTGCTAACTCCAAAATCACACAGCTTGACCTGTCCTCTTGTGTTTACTAGCATATTGGAGGGCTTCACATCTGAAAAGAGAACAGAAAAGTCCATATAACTAATTCCGTACTTACAGTGATTGTTTTTAAAAAGCACACACACACACTCCCCATACCATATTGCACAAATGACATCATCTGCTCAATCTAAAATTCTAATCAAAAATTTAATGCAAAGCATTTTATCTGGGGGCAAAATGTAAGGTCTTAACTTCTCCGTTTCCAACCATATTGCACAAATGACATCATCTGCTCAATCTAAAATTCTAATCAGAAATTTAATGCAAAGCATTTTATCTGGGGGCAAAATGTAAGGTCTTAACTTCTCCGTTTCCAACTATTTCTGCTTTCTAATGAAGCAAGGGTTCATTTCAAGCAAAAGTAAAATAAAATCTTACCTTCCAATAATAGCAAATACACCCATCATCCTATCCTTACCCTTTCAGAGAAGTAGGTAGATAAAAAATGTAGTCTTATTACAAATAATCTGCATAATAAGAATTGGATTTGCTCTATATGTGTAACCACCAAGTTACCCCTCCTAAGAAGTAGTAGGGCCAAAGAGGAACAAAAAAGGAAAAAAATCACTCACGTTGTGGGTAACAGGTGATATCAGAATGAAATTATGAGAAAAAGAGTGCAGAATTGTGATTTCCCGTGTTTTACATGACAAACACTACTTCAGATAGTGCTCAGAAATTGATCTAAACGATGTGCATGTGTGTGCGCATGCATGCGCTTATCATGATGTCTTTGTTTCACTTGCCCTTCTCTTCTCTTACATCATTTTTGACTATTGTTATAGTTAACAAAAGAATCGACATAGCTTTCACCAAAGCAGTCAGTCTCTAAATAATGACACAAAAGGTTTCTGTGATGCATCGTCAATGACAACAACGAGCCTTTTCAGGAATTCAGGAAGCCACAAAAACCATCCAAACAGGACAAGAGCACACCACTTTTGATGGTCCAGAGTAGCACCTGCTTCAGTGCTTCATCTTTAATGGCAAAAGTGGTTTAGAATAGACAACGCATTATATTTAATACAGCATATAATCTTACCTACCCTGAAACTGAACAAAAGACTCAATTTTTTTGATGTAACATTTAAAAAATAAACTGTAAATGAGATAATCTTCCCCTGACACTCTACCCTGCAAAAAAGTATCCCATCAAAGTATCTTGCCAAGAGGACGGTACTTAATTCAAATTTCAAGTTCAAACTCAGCAACCAACAATTATTGAACCCTCCTTAGTATGTGACAGGCAAAGTACCAGACACTTTCTCATACATTAGCTCATCCAGTGTTGCCTGACTGACTGGAGGGACTTTGTCTCTTTTACTGACTATGATATCCCTAGTCCCAGGAAGAGTGTCAGGCATATAGTAAGCTCTTAATAAATATTTGTTGAATGAATGAGTGAATAAACGAATGGAAACCATGAGTACACAGTATTATTTTACATCGATGATTCTGTCTCAGTGATGAAGAGTTAACTTTAGAACATGTCAATGTAGCATGACCTTCTGATAACAACCATTGTAACCTCTGTTGAAGTGCACTCTCTTTGAACACAAGCTGTATGCCAAGGCAGGCATCAGCTCTTTCACCAACTGGCCTCTCAACCTCCAGTTTACCCTAATTTCAATATAATTCTTACGCCACCATCATATTAAACCTTACATATACCACTTTCACTACATCATTTCTTAGGGAGGAAGTCAAATATTCCCTGACATGCTCCCACCCACCAGAATGTGAACTTAAGAACTGGGTTGTGCTTCCAAGTGTGCCCCAACAGTTAGTGCAACACATCACAGACACTCAATAAATGTTTGCTGAACTGAAACAAATGCTAGATTCTACGTAGCTTGGTCTTATTTTCCAAATCTAATTCTCAACCTTGAGTATTTTTCTTTTGGACAGTCTCTTCCTTTATATATTGATACCCTAATCCACTCTTAAGCCATCACATCAGATGGAGACAGTTAATGAACAAACATTTTGATCTCCTAGAAGAAGTGGCTGCCTGGAAATTGTGAGGTACTCTAAAAGCAGCAAATCTTCAGCTTCAATCTGACACACAATTGACTTACGAGGACCAACAGAGAGTGAAACAATAAAACAATAAATCTGCTAGACTGTATTCTAAAAGGCAAGGTGAAAATAAGAACTTCGCTGGATTTTCTAGCTCTCCACCGACATCTTTTTAACATACATGTAAGCCTACTGTACAACTTTCGCACGTTCACCTTTTGGCCTAGTTTTCAGGAGTACTTTATGTATGAAAGTGCTAGACAAACACTCATCCTCAAACCAACCTCTGCATTCCAACCAGACTGTTTTAATTACTGTCTCCAATCAATCAATCAATAAAATTCCATCGTTAAGGCTTTGCTCATGCTGTCATCATCTCCTCCCCATACCCAGGTTTAGAAACCCTCCCTCCATATTTTCTGACTACTGGAATCCTCCCATTCCTCATCCCAAGTATCTGCCTACCTGCTGCCCTGATTTCTCCAGCCATCATAGACACTGCTTCCTTGGAATTGCTGTGGCATCTACCATCTGTACCATTTGTTTGGAACTGAGCACACGACAGTTTATACTAGTGGTTATTTACCATATTTGCTATTACAGGTCTCATCACCCCAAGAAATAAGTTCACAGGGTAGAAATATACTTTACACATCTTTATATGTACTCCTTCCAAGCACAGTGTCTAGCCTGCTGGTTGATGGCTTTTTAAACAACACATTAAATTTGCTAAAATAAATGCTCCTCTCCATAGTAATATCTTGAGACAAAACTTGAACATTACAGACCCCTTTACACAAAGTCAATGGATTCAGGATAGGAGACAGAAAACCTGGGTTTTAGTCTTTTTGACTCTTCCACAAACTTGACATGTAACTTAGGACTTGGCATGTGACATTTTAGTTGCCACCTATGTAGGGATATTATAATAGTTACTGTGTCGATCTTAAAGAACTGTGAGAATTAAATGAAATGATAAATGTAAAACTGCTTTTTAAACGTCAAACACTTTATAAATATAAGGTATTATTATCAATTGGAAATCAACCAAGCTACAAAAAGTGATGTATTTCATTACATTTAGGAAATAATTTCTCTGCTACTATAGCAATTTGTACTGTGAGTAAAATACTAAAAGAAAACAATTTCCAAAGCCCAGTAAGTACAACTATAAAACCAATTTAATGTTTATGAAGAAACATTTTTGCCAGACTATATGCACTCGTATTCCTCAACAAGGCTACTGAACTGGTTTCCCTATTTTAACACTTCCTCTACACAGCAGCTAAAATAACCCTTTTAAAACCCAAATCAGACCATGTTGCTTCTCTGCCTAAAACCTCCAAGGGGTTCCCAACTCAATGCAAACTGTGAAGCCCTCCCACTGGTCCCTCAGGCCCTCCTGAGCTGGCCCACCACCTCTGTGCTCTCATTCATTTCACTCCTGTCCCTGCCCACTCTGCTTCATCCCACTGGCCTCCTTGCCAGGCATGCTCCTGCTTTGCAGTTCCGTTTTCCTGTATTCTGCTCCCACATATATGCATAGCTTGCTCCTTCTCTTCTTTTAGGTTTCTACTCAAATGTTATCTTTTTAAGAGAAACCTTCCCCAACCACCCAGTATGAAGCAGGGAGCAATAAAGAAAATTGGTACCAAGAAGTGGGGTATTTCTAATAACAAATACCTGAAAATGTGGAAGCAACTTTGGAACTGGGTCATGAGCAGAGGCTGGAAGAATTCTGGGTAGGCTAGAAAAAGCCTAGATTCTACTTTCTGGATTAGTCCATTTTCTGTCGCTTATAATAGAATACCTAAAACTGGGTAATTTATAAAGAAATGGAATTTACTTCTTACAGTTTTAGAGGCTGGAAAGCCCAAGGTCCAGGGGGCACATCTGTGAGGGCCTTCTTCCTGGTGGGGACCTTCAGAGTCCCAAGGCAGTGGAGGGTATCAGATGGCAAGAGGGCTGAGTGTCCTCACATACTCACTAGCTTTCCTGCTAAAACTACCAGTGCCACTCCCATAATAATTCATTTACCAATTATCATTACTCCATCAACGTATTAATCCAAAGCCCAAGGTCCAGGGGGCACATCTGTGAGGGCCTTCTTCCTGGCGGGGACCTTCAGAGTCCCAAGGCAGTGGAGGGTATCAGATGGCAAGAGGGCTGAGTGTCCTCACATACTCACTAGCTTTCCTGCTAAAACCACCAGTGCCACTCCCATAATAATTCATTTACCAATTATCATTACTCCATCAACGTATTAATCTATTCATGAGGGCAGAGCCCTCAAGATCCAATCACCTTTCAAAGGCCCCACCTCTCAATATGGCCAAATAGGGATTAAGTTTCAATATGAGTTTTGGGGGGCCATTCAAACTATAGCAGATGGTATATCTGTCATTACGTTTAAAATATGTGTCTTGCAAACAGTATAGTGTTGGGTCTTGCTCTTTTGAACAGTTTGACATTTGTGCTTTTAATTGGAGTGTCTAGACCATTACATTTAACATAATTATTGATACGGTTGGGTTCAAATCTGCTATCTTACTAATTGTCCTGTTTTTTGTTCCTTTTTTCTTCTTTTCCTGCCTTTTTGTGGGGGTTAGTTGAGCTATTTTTAGCATTCCACTATTCTCTACTATTGGCTTCTACCTACCAGAGGTTGGTAAACTTTTTCTTTAAAGGGTCATAAATATTTCAGGCTTTGAGAGCTATATAGTTTTTGTTGTAATTACTCAAATTCTGCCATTGTATTATAAAAGCAACCACAGGCCATGGGTAAATAAATGGATACGGCTGTGTTGTAATAAAATTTTGTTAATGAAAACAGGTAGAGAGCCAAATTAGGTCCATGAGCTGAAGTTTGACAGCCCCTGTTTAAAGCTTTATTTTACTTTTTTACAACTGTTTTATGATTTACAGTATGCTTCTTTAACTTCTCACAGCCTACCTTCAAATACTGTTAAGACATTTCGCTTATAATGTGCA